GCAGTGTGTCACGCGCTCGTAGGCAGGGGTGAACTGGTGAACACCCCCATCCTGAAGCGCACAACCTGCCACCAAGTTCGTAGAGAACGAGGGGAGGTGGAGACCTGACAGTGTGCCCGACGGGACAGCAGGACAAGGAAGGACAGTGGAGGAGGTCGCAATGACCGGACCCCCAGAGGGGTCAGCGAGCGAGACAGCGACTGGTCGAGCAAGGGGCTCAAGAGCAGTGCGGTCACGAAAGAAACAGCGCGAAGCGCCTGAGTCTAGAGTGAAGGTGTGCAGTGCCTCAGTGGACTCAGTAGTACCTGGGGTGGCGGACACACAAGCACCTAGAGCAGTAGCCGCACTAGCACCTGGGGCAGCAGACACGCAAGCACCTAGGGCGGCAGCCTCACTCGTGCGGATGCCTGGGTCAGGCGGAACACACAGGTACTGGTCCTCTTCTCCACTAATAGTCAATGCATACATGGCTTTGAGAATAACATCAAAATCAAGAGCATAGATATCGATATCCTTCTTGAGGAGATCAGCCCACTGAGGGAGCTCACGAGCGTCAGGAAACTAAGCACGCCACGCGTCATCTAGGCGAGAGAAGCAGCGCTGCGCAGTGTGCACCCTCCCGCACGTCTGTCCCTTGCGGCGACCAGTGCGGATGACGTACGTGCAGCTAAGGCTACCCCCCCCACCCCCGTGCTGTAAGTACCACTCACGAAGCTCCTGGGAGGACTGAGGGTGCTGCGCGTTCTGGCCAGTGCCAGAGCCTCCACGACCACCACCGCCGCCTCCACCACGACCACCACCGCCCCTGCCGCCTCCACGTCCACTGCCGCCACCACCACCGCCCCCACCCCGGCCACCGCCGCCGCCGCTGCCTCCACCACTCCCACCGCTGCCACTAGCCCCTCCAGCCCCGCCACCACCCCCACCGCCGCCACCACCCCCACCACCGCCTCCCCCGCCGTCACCCCCACCGCCCTTGCCTCCCCTGCCCTTGCCGCTGCGACGCCCGCTGGGAGCGGACGCAGAGCCGACCTGCTCAGCACCAAGGAGGTCGACAGCAGCAGCAGAGGCGACAGAGGGGAGCAGGGGGAAGGGGGAACACCCCTCGAAGAAAGGGGTGCGGGGGTCGCCACGAGAGGCACCTACAGCTACAATACTCTTCTCAGCTGCAAGTAGTTCCTTCTCTAGGGCGGTAATGGTGAGCTCAGTGGGGCAGCGAGCTAGGAAGTGGTCCCTGACTGTACGCAGAGTGTCAGGGAGGCGGGTGACTAGGTGGTAGAGAGTGAGCCAGAGCGGGGGAGGGTTGGAGGCAAGAAACTCAGCGGGCATGGCTACACGGAAGCGGGCATCACTAGTGCGGAGGTGAGTGATGAGGTCAGCGACTGTCTGGAAGGCGGACAGGTCGGGGAACAGGTAGGGAAGCGAGAGGCGGCCTAATGCAGCTGAGGCCGGGGAGGAGTAGCGCGCAACTACAGCAGTGTACAGGGCCTGCGCAGTCTGATGCTGGCCAAAGTGCTCGCGCTCGTCGACTGGCAGGGAGTTGCGAATAGCAAAGCGGGCGCGGGCATCGCGAGTCTGCCACTGTGAGCGAGCAGTAGCAGTAGCAGTAGTAGCAGGAGGAGGGACTGTGCCTAGTGCGTGATCGTACAGCGAGATATCCTCTCTGGCAGTGAGCTGGAGGAACAGGTGCAGATCATCGAGCCATGTCTCAAACTTAATCGGGCGGCCCTCAGCATTGAACGAGAGAACTGGAGGGCTAGCCATAGCTGAAGTAGCAGTAGCAGAAGTAGCAGTAGCAGTAGCAGTAGCAGCAGCAGCAGCGGTAGTAGTAGCAGTAGCAGTAGCAGTAGTGGTGCTGCTGCTCAGGTAAGGAGGGCGCGGCTCGGCTAGGACGGCGCGGCTCGGCTAGGGCGGCGCGGCTCGGCTAGGGCGGCGCGGCTCGGCTGGGGCGGCGCGGCTCGGCTGGGTCGCGCGGTTCGGCTCGGGTCGCGCGGTGCAGCTGGGGTCGCGCTGTGCGGCTCGGCCGTAGAGGGCCGAGCGCGGGAGGGGCCGTTCGGGGGCCGGTCGGGGCTAGCGCGGGGCCATTTGGGGGCCGTAGGAGGCTAGCGCGGGGCCTTACGGGGCCGTGGGAGGCTAGCGCGGGGCCAATCGGGGCCGTAGGAGGCTAGCGCGGGGCCGTAGGTGGGCCGTGGGAGGCTAGCGCGGGGCTACACGGGGCCGTTAGAGGCTAGCGCGGGGCCATAGGGGGCCGTGAGAGGCTAGCGCGGGGCCGACGCGGGGCCTTAAGGGGCTAGCGCGGGGTCTTAAGACGGGGCCGTGAGAGGCCGTAAGGGGCGACGCGAGGGGCCGTGAGGGGCCTGAAGGGGCGACGCTAGGAACGAGGCGCACGAGGGCGCTAGGAAAAGGCGGCGCACGAGGGCGCGGCTAGCGGAAACGGTGGGCCCTAACGTTCCGGTCCTAGGTGGAACCTAGGCTCGTAATACCATGTCAGAATGAGAAACAGGAATGTGTGTGACTAGCAGGAACAACAGTACAAATATGAAACCCTAAACTGGTGTACCCCCTATGGTGTGACCCACTACAGCCTAGAACCACACAAACATATAATGTTTGACAGTAGCGTCGCAGAGTGTGGAACGCGAATTCCGGTGCTGATGTCTTCTTTTTGTGTCGTTCTTCTTGCAGGTCCATGTCTTGCTGCTCGGCGTGGATTTCGGCGCAGAGCGCTGCTTCGGAGATTCTTCCGTGAGCTCGGAGAATGGCCTTTGTGGCGCGCCATTGAGGACCGAGGCCGCCGATGATGATTGTCAGGAAGGCGTCTTTAAAAATCGACCCTCCGCATCGAAGAAGCTTGTCGCGCAATTCGCGACATCGACTGATATACACCATTCCTTTCTCCCCTTGTTTCATTTCAACCGTTGTCAGTTGCGCTATTAACCGACTTTGGCTTACGCTGTCTGTTGCTTGATACAGGCTCTTCAGGTGGTTGTACGCGAGCTCCGCGGAGTTGCGGTGACCTCGGTAAGGCCTTATGTTCTGCTGTTGAGTCGGGGTGATATTCCTCAGTAGGATCGTGTACGCCATCATTGACTGATAGGTGTACTGCTGCTTCTCGTACTGTGTGCCGTTTGTTGGGTATGGCAGAGACCCGTCGAAGAACCCGAGTATCTGCGCGCCTTCCATCATCAGCTCAAACTCGAACGACCAGGTGAAGAAGTCCTTTCCATCGAAGGGTCTTGACGTCTGCATCTTCAGAATGTGTGCGAACTGCGACTGAACTTGTAATGCGTCCAGTGATTTTTCTTGTCCAGGTGAAGGCTGTGGGTGTGGCATAAAGCTGATGGACCCGCGCTCGTACGGAGCAAAGGTAGGCTGCTGTTGTTGATTTCCTCGTGCATATGATGAGCTGTCGAGACTCATGGGTGTTGCTCCGTTGTTGTTGTTGTTGTGTGACTGCGGAGGTGCCGATTGCTGGTGTTGCTCGTAGAAGGACATGAAGGAGAAAAACTTCTCCATCATGCTTTGGTCGAAGTCTGCAGGTTGATTCGCGGGAGTCTCGGTAGATGTTGCTCTGGGTCTTGCCGTGCCTTCCTCTGTCTGTAGGCCAGAGGCAGGAGGTGGAGTAGGAGTAGTGCCCTAGGAGCCGTTGGAGTTGCTCCTTTCCTTTTGTGTAGCCATGCTGATTGATATTGTCGGTATAGAAGTTGAATTCCCCCTGATTGCTCTCATACCATGTTGGGCTGAAAAGCCCTTAGGATCTTTGCAGGGGTGAACTCTGGGTAGAGTTGGTGTAGTAGCGGAAGCATTAATTAAAGGGTTGTGAACCACCTTGCGCTAGTATGTGAGGGCAAAGTAAGTTGATTAAAGCAAAGAGATACAAGATTATGTATGAATACAGGGAATATGAAAAAACACAGTTATAACTACTTTACTACGCTGTTGCGGTTCGATACAGTGACGACTCGGGCAACTGCTCTGTAACGAGTCAGTTGTGTGTCCTTGCTGTCGCGCTGTATTTGTCAGGTCGAAGGTTGCTGACCTTTGACTTTCGCGTAACCTCCGATAGTTACTTCAACCTCCGAGGGTTGACTCGCTGGTGCTTCGATAGTGTTTTGCTTCGCTTGTGTCTTGGTGTTTCGACACAACAGAGGCGCTTAGGACCGATTGTTTCCAACATAGCTAACTATCTCACTTCAGAACCACATTAAAAGCATGCTTCAGATCAGACATTACCTACGGTACTATTGTTTCAATATCAATGTCACAGCTTCACATTTTCTAGTCACTCCTCTCCATCCTCCTCCCCATCCTCCTTCCCATCCCAGACGTGAGCCAAATCTTCCACAGGAAGAGCATTCACCACCTTGTATGTCTCCCTAGAGTGCCTCTCGTGCACCTTCTCCCGATACTCCTCCCCGTGCTTCTTCTTCTCATTGATACGGATCTGAAAGGGCAACAGCGGAGACGGCCCACTGAATGTGATGGATGTGTGTGTGTCGCTAAACATAAGCGGATCGAGTATGATCAACATGCAAACAATAATGTTCCTGTTGCGTCATCCAGATTTTTACACACCTTATTTGGTGAAATGTAACTTGGATTCTCATAAAGAGTGGGCCCACCGAATGTGCCAGAGAACACACGAATGGGATTTAAACAGAAGCGAGGCCCCACCTGCACGGCACAGCAGAAGAGTCAGGTTTGGGAAACGAGGTGAAGGAGAAAACGGAGGCAGCGAATACACAGACAGTGAAATCTTCACTAGCAACAAACAAAGTGCACTCTGTCCCGAGACATCAGCAACAGTAACAGAGCGTCTACTGTTGACCCTCGTGATTGTAGGTATGCCTCCTCACCACAGGCATGACTCTGAAACGCCTACCCTCGCACCACACAGCAGCACACCAGCACCACATGACACCTCACTGCACCCCACCGCAGCACACCAGCATCCTTGTGACTCATTTGTTATGCCCACCTCCACAAGTGACATCGTCTCCATGGTGATTTCTTCAATTCCGGCCGCCCCCTCTGCTCCTCTATGGGTTTGACTCCACACCACACTGCACCACACCAGTCTCTGTAGCACCCACCTCCACTAGTGACTTCTTCTCCATGGTGATGTCATCAATTCTGGATGCCCCCTCTGCCACATGAATGCAAATCCAAGACGCTCATAACACACCCGCACCACACCTCACCATACCAGACTGCACCACACCGCACTGCACCACACACGACCACACCACAGGCATGTCTTTACTATGCCCACCTCCAATAGCGACATCTTCTCCATGGTGATGCCATCAATTCCGGCCGCCCCCTCGGCTCCAGAAATGCATAATTGAAACTCTCACCACAGTGTGCAGCGCCTACCTACACACCACACCAAACCGTACTGCACCGCACTGTGTGTGCAGCACCCACCTCCACCAGCGACATCTTCTCCATCGTGATGTCATCGATTCTCGCTGCCCCCTCTGCTCCAGGAATGCATATCTGACAGGACAGAATGAATAGGACAGGAATGCTGTCAGCAACTGTGTTAGTGTTAAGACGGACCAATCACCAACGTTGGCGTATAGAGCAGATGCAGCTAGGTAGGTGAATGAGAGCACATGCCGCAATCGGTTAGAGCAGCCTCACTTGGTAGTTTCTGAACCAGATGCGGCCATCCAGGTAGGTGAATGTGAGCACATGATCGTAGAATGGCTTCGCCTTGCGGTGCCCCTTGGGGGTTGCAAACGTCTGCATGCGCTCACAGAGGGGGGGGGGGGGAGGGGGATGGGTTAGTGGGTGGGCAGCAAGGCGAAGGACCCTGATGCAAAAACAGACTTCTATACTTGAAGGGAAGAAGTGACAGAGTAGAGCGAGACTGCAATGGGTAAGGGCACGGCACGTGAGTGTGCATCCGTGAGTGCATGAGAAAGAAGGCCGTGAGGGCGTGCCTGGATTAAGAGCTCCTTGAGAACAGAGAGGAAGGGTAGGCGGTCAAACGAGGGGTTGAAGGTGAGTGCAGTGGGAGGGGGAGCGTCAGTGGGAGGGGGAGCGTCAGTGGGAGGGGGAGCATCAGTGGGAGGGGGAGCGTCAGTGGGAGGGGGAGCATCAGTGGGAGGGGGAGCGTCAGTGGGAGGGGGAGCGTCAGTGGGAGGGGGAGCGTCAGTGGGAGGGGGAGCGTCAGTGGGAGGGGGAGCGTCAGTGGGAGGGGGAGCGTCAGTGGGAGGGGGAGCGTCAGTGGGAGGGGGAGCGTCAGTGGGAGGGGGAGCGGCAGTGGGAGGGGGAGCGTCAGTGGGAGGGGGAGCGTCAGTGGGAGGGGGAGCGTCAGTGGGAGGGGGAGCGTCAGTGGGAGGGGGAGCGTCAGTGGGAGGGGGAGCGGCAGTGGGAGGGGGAGCGTCAGTGGGAGGGGGAGCGTCAGTGGGAGGGGGAGCGTCAGTGGGAGGGGGAGCATCAGTGGGAGGGGGAGCGTCAGTGGGAGGGGGAGCGTCAGTGGGAGGGGGAGCGTCAGTGGGAGGGGGAGCGTCAGTGGGAGGGGGAGCGTCAGTGGGAGGGGGAGCGTCAGTGGGAGGGGGAGCGTCAGTGGGAGGGGGAGCGTCAGTGGGAGGGGGAGCGTCAGTGGGAGGGGGAGCGTCAGTGGGAGGGGGAGCGTCAGTGGGAGGGGGAGCGTCAGTGGGAGGGGGAGCGTCAGTGGGAGGGGGAGCGTCAGTGGGAGGGGGAGCGTCAGTGGGAGGGGGAGCGTCAGTGGGAGGGGGAGCGTCAGTGGGAGGGGGAGCGTCAGTGGGAGGGGGAGCGTCAGTGGGAGGGGGAGCGTCAGTGGGAGGGGGAGCGTCAGTGGGAGGGGGAGCGTCAGTGGGAGGGGGAGCGTCAGTGGGAGGGGGAGCGTCAGTGGGAGGGGGAGCGTCAGTGGGAGGGGGAGCGTCAGTGGGAGGGGGAGCGTCAGTGGGAGGGGGAGCGTCAGTGGGAGGGGGAGCGTCAGTGGGAGGGGGAGCGTCAGTGGGAGGGGGAGCGTCAGTGGGAGGGGGAGCGTCAGTGGGAGGGGAGCGTCAGTGGGAGGGGGGAGCGTCAGTGGGAGGGGGAGCGTCAGTGGGAGGGGGAGCGTCAGTGGGAGGGGGAGCGTCAGTGGGAGGGGGAGCGTCAGTGGGAGGGGGAGCGTCAGTGGGAGGGGAGCGTCAGTGGGAGGGGGAGCGTCAGTGGGAGGGGGAGCGTCAGTGGGAGGGGGAGCGTCAGTGGGAGGGGGAGCGTCAGTGGGAGGGGGAGCGTCAGTGGGAGGGGGAGCGTCAGTGGGAGGGGGAGCGTCAGTGGGAGGGGGAGCGTCAGTGGGAGGGGGAGCGTCAGTGGGAGGGGGAGCGTCAGTGGGAGGGGGAGCGTCAGTGGGAGGGGGAGCGTCAGTGGGAGGGGGAGCGTCAGTGGGAGGGGGAGCGTCAGTGGGAGGGGGAGCGTCAGTGGGAGGGGGGAGCGTCAGTGGGAGGGGGAGCGTCAGTGGGAGGGGGAGCGTCAGTGGGAGGGGGAGCGTCAGTGGGAGGGGGAGCGTCAGTGGGAGGGGGAGCGTCAGTGGGAGGGGGAGCGTCAGTGGGAGGGGGGAGCGTCAGTGGGAGGGGGAGCGTCAGTGGGAGGGGGAGCGTCAGTGGGAGGGGGAGCGTCAGTGGGAGGGGGAGCGTCAGTGGGAGGGGGAGCGTCAGTGGGAGGGGGAGCGTCAGTGGGAGGGGGAGCGTCAGTGGGAGGGGGAGCGTCAGTGGGAGGGGGAGCGTCAGTGGGAGGGGGAGCGTCAGTGGGAGGGGGAGCGTCAGTGGGAGGGGGAGCGTCAGTGGGAGGGGGAGCGTCAGTGGGAGGGGGAGCGTCAGTGGGAGGGGGAGCGTCAGTGGGAGGGAGTCAGTGGGAGGGGGAGCGTCAGTGGGAGGGGGAGCGTACGTGCGTGTCTAGATGAGGTGGAACAAGATGAAGGGGAGGAGGGGGGGGGGGGGGGGGGATTGTGTGAGCGTGCCTGGATAAAGAGCTCCTTGAGAACGGAGAGGAAGGGCAGGCGGTCGAACGAGGGCGAGAAGGTGAGGAAGGGACGCGAGCCCTTGAGGTGGTTGCCCGTTAGCTTGAGCTCCTCCATTGTGTGCACTGGGGGGTTGGTGGGGGGGGATGTGGTGTGATAGGGGGAGTAAGGAAGGAGGGGGAGTGGGCGAGTTGAGTGGGCGGACAAGGACGGACGGCCCTTGAGGTGGTTGCCTGTGAGTATGAGCTCCTCCATTGTGTGCACTGGGGGGGTAGAGGCGGGGGGTGTGGAGGGATGGCGCGGAGGGTGGGGGGAGGTGGAAGAGGGGAGAAGCATGGGAGAGGAGTGGGTGAACAAGGAAAGCCCTTGAGGTGGTTGCCTGGCAGCTTCAGCTCTTTCATTGTGTGCGCTGCTAAGGAAAATGTGTGGACGTGGGGTTAAGGGGGTGGAAAGGGATTTGACAGGGGTAGGCGCACATTTGGAGGTTGGAGCTTGTACCAAAACTTGGTCGCTTTGAGACGTGTCACATGGCGTGCGTGCAGAAACGTTACTCAAGCATGCACATTCGAACAACACACCCACGGGTACGACGAGCGAGCATACCTGCACTGACGAGAAACTTCACGGAAGGACCCGAGGGCCCCTTGCTTAGCCACAGGTATAGGTCTCTCTGCTTGCGCATCTGGCAGTGAGAGGGAAACAGAGATGGAAGGAGAGAGATGGAAGGAGAGAGATGGAAGGAGAGAGATGGAAGGAGAGAGATGGAAGGAGAGAGATGGCTGGCACCACCAGTGTATGGGCGGCAGGGGCATGAACACAGATGGCTGGCAGTGGCACAGACAGAGCTGCAGGTCTTGCGCTTGTGCGTATAAGGCACGGGGCAGGGACTGAGTGACAGGGGCGGTCAAACGAGTCCACTCAGGGCATGCAGTGAGGAAGCCAAAGTGTGAGGGGCAAGGTGTGGCGGGGCGGATGGAGAGGGGGGGAAAGGGGAGGGAGAGGGGAGGGGAAGGGGAGGGAAAGGGCGGGGCACGGAACAAGATGGGATGGCCTGGGGGGAGCGGGTGGGTGGGGTGAGGGGAGCTGAGGGCGGCACCGTACCTCGAAGAAGAGGCAAAGCGAGCAGCCCCGTAAGTCCATGAGCTCAGAGAGGAGTGGAGTAAGGTGGGGTGGGGAGGGGTGAAGTGAGCAAGGCAGCAAAGCACCTCACCTCGAAGAAGAGGCACAGGGAGCAGCCCCGTAAGTCCATGAGCTCAGAAAGAGCCTCGTTGAGCTGACGGCCGCGAGCCACGTCCACCTTGGGCTCCTTCTTGCTGTGCGGCAACAGCGCCGTGATGTCCTCCATTAGATGGCGGTACCTGGGAGAAGAAAGCAGGCAGGAAAACGATAAAGAGTGAGAGAGGGGCACATGACCATTCCATGCGTGGGAAGGCACCACTAGCAGTGCTAAGTCCACCTTTGGCTCCTTCTTGCTGTGCGGTAAGACCGCTGTGATGTCCTCCATTAGATGGCGGTACCTGGGAGAGGCAGGCGGATAAGCGTAAGCGGTGGGATAAGCCAAGCCTCGACCAAAGGTAGAAACCCCTGAACCCCGCAGAACCCTAGTGCAACCCTGCCCCCGTCAGTGGCCCAACCCTGACCCGACACAACGACCGACCTGTACACAATGCCTCGCGACGACAGCACCAGAACCTTCTCCTTCTTAAACCCCACCACTGCCTTCCCCTGCAGTGCCCCCGCTAACGCGCCCGCCGCTTTTCCCTGCAACTCGCTCTTCGGGATAAGCCCCACGTGGACGACTCTCGTGCTCTGATTGGCTTTCGTCGCTTCTTCCGCGGCTGTCTTCGCTGCGATTTTCTTCTGCTTCTTCTTCGCGATCATCTCCTGTTTTTTCGTTAAAAGCGGCTTCGATTTCGCGCTAATGCGCGATTGGCCTTTCGCGGCTGGCGCCGCGGCGGTAACCGTCGCTTTTTGTATTTTCACGGAGGACTTCGCCACGCCTAGCGGGTTCCGGGTCGCTGGCTTCACCCTCTTCTCCGGCGCAGGTTTCGACCTCGCCATTTGAGATATATGTCTGGAAAGACGAAGGAAGAGGAAAAGAACGGACGAGCACGCGAGGAGTAGAAAGCGAGGAAGCGGGAAACCAATTACTTGGATCGCAATGCGGCGATTATTGAGTGAGAGACGATGCGTTGACCTCTAATTTTCGTGACTGGTTTTGCTGCGCTGAACCTTGGTGGTTGAGGGGAAGAACAATATTTTGGGAAGGTCGAAAAACACTGAGCTTTTGGTGCTACACTTTTTGGTTCAGCTCACGCGAGTTCCATGCTGTTCGCTGCTTGTATCGGGAATAAGAGCATCTGGGTATGGAAAGAAGCCGGCGGGAGCGTCAGCTTTACGTTCCCCAGCCAGCATTGCAGGTTCGGGCCTGAACCAGCCTGTGACCTAGATTTCATCGTCACCCATACGAGGATGATGATTCATAAAGTTCAGGCGGGATTTGGCGGGAAAGCCCACCCTTGAAATTCAGGGTGCAGCTTTCATGCTTCTTGCACACGTTCAAGGTTCCATGGCTGCTCCATTTTATAATAAATTTCGGAGCTTCGTCTTTCTTCAGTGGGTTGATTTATTTCCGTCTTATCATTCCTCACACTACGACGCTAAGCTGCTTGTTTCAAGGTTTTCCTAGTGTCCGTAAAAACAGATATATTTGCAAATCTTTCAAAGTACTCTGTTCAGTGTTGCGCGGTATACTCTTGCAGAAATTAGTCAACTTATGTCGTCTTAGATCACCGATCGTCACCCTAGGTGGTAACGATGGTTGCTGCTACGCGAAGCCGTCGCAAGCCTTCGCACAAAATTGATACGCTAGAGGTCAACGCGAATGGCTCGCTAGAGCCTCACGCTAATACAACGCGACAGCACACTCCGTCACCGGACGTGTCGTTTCTCGTTAACGGGGACGACAGCAAACCTAGTCTGAACAAGGGTCCCAAGCCTACTTCGAGCCTGCCTCCTGAGTGTAGTCCGAGCCTGACTGCGAGGTCTGGTCCACGTCTTAGTAGTGGCGAGGCGAGTTGTGGTCAGTCCCTTGGGATTGCCGATAACTCTATCTCTAGGGTAAGAAACAGCAGGAGTGGGAGGGCGAAGGCTGTCGAAGAGGGCGAAATGGGCGGCGTACTGGCGAAGGTTTTCGCTGGTGTGACGGAAGGTCTGAGCGTCGAACGGATAAGAGGGAATCACGACGCGCAGGAGCCGGGGGAAAATGCTCGCGGGGAAATGGCTGGCGGAAGGGTGGAGGCGGAAGACAGCGGGGGGAAGGTGGAGGGGAGTGGGGGAGAGATGGCGGTGGCGGAGGAGTGGGGGGAGCTGTGGAAGGGGTGTGGCGGAGGGGAGGGCGGGGAAGTGGGGGGCGAGACAGAGGAGATGGACTGGGCGGGGGATGGATGGCTGGCGGATACTCAGATCGTGGGGGAGGACGAGGAGACGCAGGTGTATGGTTATGGTGGGAGTTGGAGCCCTAGTAAATGTGGGAATGAAAAGGAAAAGGAAAAGGAATTTGATTTGAGTTTGGTTGTTGCTAGGGGGGGACCAGAGAAGGTGACAGGGAAAGGGTTAGCGAGGGGTGGAGGACAGGCGGAGGGCGAGCTGGGGGAAAGATTAGAGCAGGGGCGAGGGGAGGAGAGGCAAGAGGGAGAGAGGCGAGAGGGAGAGAGGCGAGAAGCGGAGAGGGGAGATGAGGAGAGACGAGAAGCAGGAAAGAAGCAAGAGGAGGGGGAACGGAAAGAGGAAACGGAAGTGGAAGGGGTAGAGCAGAGGGGAGGAGAGGAGGAGACAGATAAGGGGGTGAACCGAGAAAAGGGTGGGAAGCAAGGAGAGGAGGGGCAGGAAGAGGAGGAAGAATCACCTGTGAGCTTCAAAGGCAGAGGTAGGGGAGGAGGGAAGGGAAGAGGGCGAGGGAGAGGCGGAAGGAGGGGCGGGGGACGCGGAAGTGGCAAGGGGAGGAGTTTAGAAAGGGTTGTGCTCGGGACGGGGAAGGCGGTTGTGGAGGGCGGGGAGGAGGAAGCAGCAGCAGGTGCACTCGCAGCAGCAGACTTGCCGGCACCGGCCGCAGCAGCAGTAGACACGGCAGCAGCAGCAGCAGCAGCAGCAGCAGCAGCAGCAGCCGCAGCAGCCGCAGCAGCAGGAACGGCAGAGAAATCACTACCAGCATCAGCAGGAAAAGCGGCAGCAGGAACAGCAGACACATCACCAGCAGCAGCAGCAGCAGCATCAGGAAAAACAGCAGCAGGAACAACAAGCACATCACCCGAAGCAGCAGCAGCTTTGTGTGGGGACTCGGTGGATCCAGGCGAGGACACGCAGGTGGACGCCCTCGGTATAGTCACGCGCCTGCTGGGCTCCGACAGCCAGCACAGCAGCGACGTGCTTCTACCGGGCGGTGCACTGGGCGGGCTGCTGCTGGGGGGAATGGGCGGAGGCATGGGGGGAGCGGCTGGGGGCGAGAAGGGGGGTAACAGCAAGGGCAGTGGGGCAGGAGGTACGAGCAAAGGAAGGGAGGTACCCAGCTGGGCTAACTGGCTCAAGCCGGTGGGGAAGGCAGGAGGAGGGACGGTGGCTGACGGGCACGTGGGTGTTTCCGGTGTGCAGCAGCCGTTGAAGGCTGTTCTGAGGGAGGATGGGGTGGACCCGTACGCGCTTCCTTACAGTGAGGACCCGGACGAGGGGGGGTGTTGGGGCAAGGGCGGAGTGGGTGAGGCGGAGAGGGGGGCGGAAGGAGGGAAGGCTAGTGGAGGGCGGAAGGGAGGGGATAAGGGAGATGGGGTGGAGGAAGAGGAGTTGGAAGAGGAGGAAGAAGCTCGAAAAGTGAAGGGGAAGAGGACGCGTGGAAGTGCAAGAGGTAAGGGAAGAGGAGGAGGAAGAGGGAGAGGAGGGAGAGGAGAGGGGAAGACAAAGGGGAGGGGCAAAGGGGCGAAAGGGGCAGGTAGCGAAGAGGGTATAGAAGAAGAGAAAGGGGAGGAAGAGGAGGCGGAGGGGATGGGGCAGAAGGGCAGAGGGGGGAAGAATGGCAGGTCAGGGACGGGCGGGCGTGGGGCAGGTGCAGCAGGGCAAGGGGGGAAGCGAGGGAGAGGCGCAGGGAAGGGTGCAAGTGCAAGTCCGAGCCACGGGCTGGATAGAGAGTATTTCTTGAAGCTGAGTCAGCTGCAGGAGGAGGAGGAAGAGGAGGAGGAGAGGAGGGGGAAGAGAAGACGGTTGTCAAAGTCTTGGAGAGCAGGAGAGGGCGTTGGAGGAGAGGAGAAGGAGAAAGGGGTGCCGCAGATAGAGGAGAGGGATGAGAGCGAGGAGAGAGCTGGGATGGAAGAGAAAGCAGTGGGAGCGCAAGAGGGCGAAGTTCCTCCTGAAGGTGAGGAGACAGGGCTGCAACATCCGAGGTTGGGGGAGTCTGCTCCCTTGGAAAGCCAGGAAGGAGGACCGCTGAACCCAAGCCTGGGCGAAGCAGCTGGTGTGGAGAATGCGGGTCTGAGCGAGCCAGTTCCTGTGGGAGCAGCAGGCGGGCAGGTGCAGGGATCAGAAAACGCGGACGGTATGCCCTTTGATTCCCAGGCGGTTTGGATGGACTCGCAAGCGGTGGAGATGGGTGCGGGGGGGAGCCTGGGCGTGCAGGTGAGCCTGGGGGAGGTGTTAACTGCGGATCTGGAGATGTCCCAGCGGTGGACGGAGGGGGGAGGGGGCGGAGGAGGGAGTGAGGAGGGGGGTGAGAGGGTGGAGGAGAAGGAGGGAGGGGATGAAAGGAAGGTTGATGGGGATGAGGGCAAAGGTGGAAAGGAGGGCAAGGATGGTGGGGAGGGGAAAGAGGATGGTGAAGAGAGGGGCAAGGGTAGAGAGGCGAGGGGCAACGTGAGTGGGAAGTCGGATGCAGGTTTGGCTTCAGTGGAAAGCGGGGAAGGTGATGGAGTGAATAAGGACGGGGAAGAGGAAGGAGGGAGGGGAAATAGTGAGAGGGAGGTGAAGAGAAGGCGAGTGGGGAGTGGTTTGAGCACTGAAGGAGTGGAAGGAGGGGGAAGAGGGAGGAAAAGTCCAGAGGTAGAGGGAGCAGGGGAGGCAACAGAGGCGGGGGGAGAAGCAGAGGCCGGGGGAGCAGCAGAGGCCGGGGGAGCAGCAGAGGCCGGGGGAGCAGCAGAGGCCGGGGGAGCAGCAGAGGCCGGGGGAGCAGCAGAGGCCGGGGGAGCAGCAGAGGCCGGGGGAGCAGCAGAGGTTGGGGGAGCAGCAGAGGCCAGGGGAGAAGCAGAGGCCGGGGGAGCAGCAGAGGCCGGGGGAGCAGCAGAGGCCGGGGGAGCAGCGGGGACAAAGGCGTCAGCAGAGGCAGGAAAGGAAACTGAGGAAGGGGGAACAGTAGGAGCAAGCGCGAGAGCAGCGGGGGCAGCCAGGACTGAAGCAGCTGCAGTGGGTGGTATGGCTGGTGATATTGCTTGTGCGTTCTCCCCCGTGGGTGAAGACACACAGATTGCCCTTGACGCTCTTGACCTCATTCTCGTGCAGGAGGAGGGGATGGGGGAGGAGGAGAAGGGGGAGGGGGAGGGGAAGGTTGAGGAAGCAGAGGAGGGCGGGAGAGGGAAGAGGAGAGCAGCTGGGAGAGGCAAGGGAAGAGGAAAGGGGAGAGGGCAAGGGAGAGGCGTGGGGAGAGGGAATGGAAGAGGGAAGGGAGGAAGAAGAGGGGTAGTGCGGGAGGAAAGCAAGAGTGAAGCAGGTGAGTTGAGTGCTGTGGCATCAGTGGCAGAGGTGGAAGGTGCACCAACGGCAGCAGGAGCAGCAGAAGCAGCAGTAGGAGAGGCAGCAGTAGTAGAAGCAGCTGAGAAGCAAAGGGGAACAACAGAGCTAGGAGAAAGTGGGGAGCTGACCTCAACACACGAGGCAGCCAAGCCAGCAGCAGTCTCAATGCCACCATCGCCAGCAGCACCAGCAGAACAAGCAGCATCAGCACACGCCGCACCAGCACAACAAGCACCATCAGCACACGCAGCACAAGCAGCACCAGCAGAACAAGCAGCATCAGCACACGCAGCACAAGCAGCACCAGCAGAACAAGCAGCAGCACCAGTACCAGCAGCTCCAGTTACCGAAACAGCAACAGAACCAGCAGAACCAGCAGCACCAAGAGCACCCTCAGCACAAGCAACACCAGCAACAACGGTTGAAACAGCAGGTGGGGCACAATCAGGACCGGCAGCGAATTTAGCCGCATCAGCTGCAGGAGCAGCAGCCGCAGCAGCAGCTGTGGAGAGGCGGGTGGTGGGGCGGATGACAGACGTGGGGCGAGGAGCAGGGCTGGTGGGACTGGAAAGAGCAGTGGAGGAGGAAGGGGAGCAGGGAGGGGGAGGTGCAACAGTGGAAGAAGGGAAAAAGGGTGGAAAGGAGGTGGATGGGGAAGGGGAGCAGAGCAGGGCGACTGGGTTGGAATCAGGCGGGGGAAGAATGGTCCAAGGCGTGGTGGAAGCAGATGAAAGGCGGGAGATCACGGGAGTTGGAGATACTGCTGGTGGTGCTGCTGCTGCCACTGCTCCTGCGGTTCCTGCTTCTTCAGGTGCCACCACCACGTCTCCCACTGCGCCTGCTGCAGCGGCTGCTGATCTACCTCCCACTATTGATGCTGTCGGTACTACTGCTCCCCCAGAAATAGACCCCTCTCCTGCTCCTGCTGTTCCCCCAAAGGACGCCCCTTCTGCTGCTGCTTCTGCTCCAGCAACAGGCGTAGACGCCCCTTCGGCTGCTGCTGTTCCAGCACCAGGCGTCTCTACAGCTGCCGCAACAGCAACAGTCGCCACTGCTTCTGCCACCAGGACCAGGGGAGGCAGGCGAGCAGCAGGCAGCAGTCGAATGACCCAAGGGTTGGTGGCCTGCCAGGTGAAGCGAGCGGTTAAGAGGGGGGATGGTGGTCTGAACGACGGGGCCGTAGCAGAGGGGAATGGCGGGGAGAGAGGAGAGGGAGGGTGCAAGAAGGGAGATCGCGGAAGGGGGGAGGAGGAGGATGGAGAAGGGGAGGGGGCGGTGGGGAACCGGGGGAAGAAAGTAAAGGGGAAGCCAGAGGGGAAGGAAGGGAGGAAGCACGAGGGGAAGGAGGGGAGGAAATTAGAGGTGGAGAAGGGAGGGAAGAAACAAGTGCGGAAAGAGGGGAAGAAGCAAGAGGGGAAGGAAGTGAAGAATCAAGAGGGGCAGGTGGCAGTTGCTGGTGGTGATAGTGTGAGTGGGAGGAAGAGGAGAAAGACGTCTCTCGGGCTGCATGATGGCTTCTATGAGCTTTTGGAGTCGAGTGAGAGTGAGAAAGGGAGTGATAAAGGGACTGAGAAAGGGAGTGAGGAAGAGAGTAAGAAAGGGAGTGAGGAAGGGAGTGAGAAGGGGGGTGATTCTGCGAGTGATGTGGGGAGTGATGAGAGTGAGGAGGAAGATGAGGCAAAGGCGAGGAAAAGGCAGAAAGGCTCGACTGCTGGAGGCAAGCAGATGAGGAAGAAAGGCGAGAAGGCGAGGGATAGGGAGGTGGAGCAGAGGGGGTCAGAGAGGGTACAGGGAGGTAGAGAGAGGCAGCAGAGGGGAAAGGCAAAGGCGGAACGCAAGGCACGCGCGGAGAGCAAGGCACGGGCAAGTGCGCAGAGATTGGAGGAGCTGAGTGGGGCAAAGGCACGGACGGGGAGTAAGAGTGAAGGGAGTGAGGAGGAGGAGGGGCAGGCAGAGCTGAAAGAGAGTAAGCGGAAGGGGAGAGTGGAGCAGGGGAAGGGAGTGGTGGAAAGTGAAGGAACCGGGGGGGATGATGCGTCCAGGGTAGGGAGGAGCACGAGGGGCAGGCGCCAGGGAGGCCAGAGAGTGTTGGCAACAGAAGGGGATGGGGTGGAGCAGAAGAAAGCGAGTGGTTGTAAAGAAGAAATTGGAGGAGAAAGGGAAGGAGAGCAGAGAGATAGAGAGGGGCAGGAATGGGTCGAGGAAGTCGGATTTCCAGGGAGGGCGAGAAGAAGACGGAGCAGCAGCGGTGCAGCAGGGTCTCATCGCACCGGGTTGCATGGTTTGTCTCCAGTGCGGGTACTGTTCAGCCGATCCCTGGACGGCGACATGATCGCTGAGCTGACGAAAGTAGTGGAGAGGCTGGGAGGAGACGTTGTGTCTGATACCTCCCCTGCCACCATCACCACTGCCTCTGCGCTCTCCTCCTCCTCCTCATCCTCCTCTCCTGTGGTTGCTTCTGCTGCCCCTGCTGCTTCCATCTGCACTCATTTTGTCTCGGCGCCGCAAATCACCCGCTCGATTAATCTCCTCGTTGCTATCTCCAGGGGCTGCCACGTGTGCACTGCTGATTGGCTGCATGCGTGTGCGAAGGCACGGGGGTTTGTGGATGCGGGGGAGTATGGAGTGAGGGACAGGCGGAAGGAGAGGGAGATGGGGTTCAAGCTGGGGGAGGCGGTGGGGAGGGCGAGGGAGAGAGGGGTGCTGGAGGGGCAGAGGGTGTTTGTTACGCCCAACACCACGCCCGATGCTCACTCCCTTGCTGCTGTTGCAGCTGCAGCTGGTGCTGAGGTGAGCGATGACCGGTTCTTATCCCCATGCTTGTGTTCTGGTGAGCTCATAATATTTGGCTTCCGGTGCTGGTGCTGAGGTGACTCTTGATTTGCCACGGCCTCCGGTCTCTAGAGCTTGGCTGGTGCTCCAGTCTCTGCTCTCTCCTGTCTCTAGAGCTTGGCTGGTGCTCCAGTCTCTGCTCTCTCCTGCCTTCTCAGACGTGCTCGCCTCCTCGCCTGCTGCTCTCCCCTCTCTTCACATCTCCAGGTGATGCCATCTTTGTCTGCCAGCAGTGCTCCCACGGTGATCGTCTCATGTCAAGCTGACAAACCTATGTGGGAAGTCCAAGCGTTGAAAGGTTGGTGGCTTTGTTGATTCTGGTGGGTGATTCATATGCTGAATCATCAGATGTTGAGTAATCAGATGCCATATCATCTCAAGCTGCCTCTTCTATTCAAGTCAGCGTGCTCCGTGCGAACCCCAACCATCCACACAACATGCCCTTCTGCTGAATGCAACAGCATGCTCCCGTGCTCGAACATGCGTGTTCTTCGGCGCATTGAACCTATTCTCCCGCCTGTTCTTTCCACATTTCGTCATGTCACCCCTTCCCACACCCACCGTCAGGCGTGCCTGTATTTTTACCAGAGTTTCTTCTGACTGCAGCAATGCGCCAACAGCTAGACTGGGGCAGGTCAGTGTGTGGTCAGATTAGAACTGGAGTGGGGGCAGGTCAGCACTGATGGCTCCTCTGTCAGCACATTCACTCGCATGCATGTCTTGGCAACATATCCTTCCTCCTTCGAATTTTGATCAAAATGCTCGGAAGTGCATGTGCCTTTGTTTGGAATAATTGGTCTTGCCCGCTTGTATGTTCTCCTTCCTATCCCTTTGTGAATGGGTTCACAGGAGCCATCGTCTGTAACATCCTGCTCAACTAATAACGGAAGAGTCCGTACCGTATACTCTGTACTACATTGTAAAGTATGTTTATTCAATCACCTAATGTCAGAATATGAATAAAGAATGACATTGATGTCAAATCACCCCTTCGGTGGCGGGAATGAAATGCACTTCACTCAGTTTTCATAAAATGCACTCCACTCTATTTTATACATATTTTATTCACACTCATGATGCACTCCATTTTATACATATTTTTTACTCGAAAATACATATTTTATAACAATGAATCCTTTGAGGGTCTGTGAATCTCCTCGTCATGTGTACTAACGGGACAGTAGTTCCTACACATCACCCCCTGCACGCGAGATTGCCTCGCAACTGATGGAAACCTTGCACCCGTGGGTTTTGTGCCGTGAGGCTGCACCCACGTTACAGGCACGTCAGCCAATACGAACCACAGAAACTGAAGTCTGACTGAAGAGAATGCAGTCAAAAAGTCAACGGTGAGTTACAAATCTTTTTATAAGCCCTTTTTGCCCGAAACGAATTGACGAAACCTCCGCGAAATGCAGTAATCGTTTATACGCCCAGAGGGTAAGGCAAGGTCGGGGGGCTCAACCGGGCATCGTGTGTACCTTCGACGGTGGTATCTTGACTCTTGACTTGACATCTAGCCGACAAGGCACAGCCTCGCGGGTGCGCACCGCGTGGAGAAGGAAATCTTGCCAAGTGTGGCAGCAGTGGACCAGTTTCGCTATCGTCGTCCTCTGAAACTTGTTTTGGTGCTCCTTGTGCAATTTCTCTCTAGTCATCAAAGCGCCGAGCTTTTCTGGTGGTGATGTGCTGGCATTCTTGACGGATAGAGAGCAGTTTTTTTAGGGCAATGGAGGGGAACTTACGATGGACTTCTGTGAAACAACCTGCAGTCCCATTCCTACCCATCTGCAGTGGCATTGACTACCACGTCGTTCGTATGCAATGCGTGACAGTGAAGGAATGTGATGGACTGTAAAGGTCTTCCCTCTCACATGTGTCCTGCCCTGCTCTCGATCTGTGCGTAGCCTAGTACCCAGTCACACCAGCCCGTGGTGTGCGCGTTCGTGGCGTTTCACACGCGCATTTCTGTTTTCACATTTTGTCATTCAGATTACAGTCGATCGATGGCTTTCGCCAGGTCTGAGTTCGTAGATCTGGTGACGGATGACAACTTCCAGCATCGCGTTCTGCGTGCTCCGCAATTAATCGTGGTGGGCTTCTTGAGTACCGATTCCCAGTCCGAAGCGCTTGGTCAGAGTATTAACAGCATCGCGAGGAGACACCAACATAGGAGCGAAGCTGTCAAATTCTATGTGGTGGACGCCTATGAGTATCCCGACTTGGGCCAGAAGTACGGTGCACATACTACACCTTCGATTATTTTCTTCAAGAATGGCACTGCTGTCCATACCTTTGCCGGGGTTGCACCCCCCGAGCATCTCATCCAAGTGTGGGTTGACGAGCACTTGTGAGCTCGCATAAGATGCTTCTTGTCGTTGGGTTTCTGACAAATGCCTTCTGTGAGATGTATCTCTCAAGTATAGTGCGATTCCATTGAAGCTGTGATGTGATTGTACATTTACCAGAAATACCCAATAGGATTGCCACGTGTACCCGATGGGAAGCATGGTCTGGAGAGATGCTCTAAATGCTTTCGCACGTGCAGAACGAAGAAAGATCCCGATGGCAGAAAGCGAAACAAGGGGAGCACGAAACAACAAGCAAGCGAAACCCTAGACCTTTGCCTGGGGACGGGGGGGAATAGGGCACAACTGAATTGCCTCCTCTGCTTGCCCATCATTTGCATGCATGCAGTCAGACTGGACTCTCTGCATGTCCCCTTTCCCCTGAAACTTTTCTCCAAATACCGTATGCCTCCTTGAGTGTGCATCTCAAGCGCATTTGCTTGTCTAAACGTCAAGTTCTTTTGCTAGTTGCTTCATTTTTATGCTTCCTATCGTTCTTGTGAATGCTTTTCCAGAAACCATTGTCTGTAAAAATCACCTTCTCAACAAATGGGGAGGAACCTGTATTATACTTATACTGTGGATTCTGCTTGTTTCTATAATTGCTTTCTAGGTATAAAATTGATAACCGGCGTCTGTTTGTCGAAGGCCCCTCTCTTTGTTAAAAATGGGAGGTACTAATTGGTCTATGAACCTTGTCTGTTCGATCCTGTTTAATCCATCTTGTGCTTAGGACTGTCAAGAGTGGGCCCATAACCCACTCTTCCACGGGTGCACAGTCCCGCAGTTACCCACCTTCACTGCCTCTCTCGCCACTGCCGCTACTGACGCGACTGCGGCTGCTGTTACGACTGCGTCGCGGTCCCGCGTTAAGGGGGGCAAGAAAGGTAGTTCTGGTGGAGGTGGAGGTGGAGGTAGCGGAGGTAGTGGGGGTGCTGTTGCGACTGGCGGTGGTGGGAGTGCAGCGTCTGGAGAGACCCCTCGTGCAGCGGCTGGTGACTCCACTGCGCCTGCTGGTGGCGGCGACCCCCGAGCTCGTCAGTCGCCTCCTGTACTGCCGACCCCGCTAGGTGGAGCAGCGGCGTGGTACCAGGCTCAGCGTCAGCAGCAGCCCCTTTCCTCCCGCCAGCCTCAGCAGCAGCAGCGTCAGCAGCTGGCTCCGGGGTCGGGGCTGCGTCAGCCCCAGCGCGGTGCTTCTTACCCTCCCTGCACCTATCAGGTTCTGACAGGTCCTCGTCGGGGCCACCCTTGTGGCCGCTTTCACCCCCCTGGTCAGTGCTTTGCTCAGCTCACTGACACGGTCCGGTTGGCCTACGGGGTTGGCGGTCCTGCTCTTGACTGGCTTCCTCTGGTTCAGCGCTACGGCTCCGCTCTGTGGGGCATGTCTGCTGAGCAGTTAGTTGATCTGATTGGTGCTCCTCATGCTATGTTTGCTGTTGTTGACTCTAGTGTTTCTGACTCTGTTTACTCTGGTTTTGTTAGCTTAGGTGCTAGTCTTGCTCAGTTGTCTGTTGCTAGTGTAGGTTCTTCTGTAGACTCTAGACCAGCGACTACCTCAGAGGACGCTTCGCTGTCGTTCACGCTGGACTCTGGAGCCTCACACTGCTTCTTCCGGGACAGCACGACACTTACACCACTTCCTGCGCCTGTTTCTGTGGCTTTGGCTGATCCCACTACGGGACCAGTCACTGCACGTCACACTACCACTTTACCGTGTCCTGCTGCTCCCTCCGGGTCTCTCACTGGGTTTCACGTCCCCTCGTTCTCCCGGAACTTGGTGGGCGTGCGACCCCTCGTGAGTCAGCACGTGGGTGTGTGGTTTGAGCCTTCTGGAGAGACTGTGGTGTGTGTTGACGGAGAATCTTACCAGCCTCTTGCTACCTTTACTGCTGAGCCGGGCTCAGGTCTCTACACTCTTCACACTGGCCCGCGTGCGCCGCAGCAGCAGCCGCAGCAGCAGCAGCAGCAGCAGCAGCTGCACCGGCGGTCGCACCAGCAGCCGCCCCTACTGCCACTGCCCCCGGTTCCCCCCTGTCAGAACATTATAGCTCATACATGTTTGTAGGCTATAGTGGGGTAGCACATATGGGGTACAGATTCCTAGGGTTTGCTATTTGTACCAATTTGTGACTTAGTCATTCCATTCCTCTTCTCATTGTTTCACATGGTATAGAGCTAGGTCCCTCCAGGACCGATTTTTTTGGGCCCACCGAAGCGCGCCCCGAGGCGCGGTTTTTTTTTTAGCGACCCCTCGAGTCGCCCTCTCCCCTACGGCCTCGCCGCCCACTCTGTCGCGGCCCCGCCCTGCTCCTTACGCGGCCCCGCGCCGGCCCCTTACGCGGCCCTTACGCGGCCCCGCGCCGGCTCCTAAGCAGCCCCGCGCCGGCTCCTACGCGGCCCCGTCCCCGGCTCCTACTCGGCCCCGCACCGGCCCTTACGCGGCCCCGCCACCGGCTCCATTGCGGCCCCGCCACCGGCTCCATTGCGGCCCCGCCCCGGCTCCTACGCGGCCCTGTCCGCCGGCCCCTTACGCGGCCCCGCGTCGGCCCCTTACGCGGCCCCGCCGCCGGCCCCCCTTACGCGGCCCCGCGCCGGCCTCCTACGCGGCCCTGCCCCGGCTCCTACGCGGCCCCGCCGCCGGCTCCTACTCGGCCCCGCGCCGGCTCTCACGCGGCCCCGTCCCGGCTCCTTCACGGCCCTGTCCGCCGGCTCCTTACGCGGCCCTGCCGCCGGCCTCTGCTCGGCCCTGCGCCGACCCCTACGCGGCCCTGCCGCCGGCTCCAACGCGGCCCTGCCCCGGCTCCTACGCCGGCCCTACCGCCGGCCCTGCCGCCGGCTCCAACGCGGCCCTGCCCCGGCTCCTACGCGGCCCTACCGCCGGCCCCTTCGCGGCCCCGCCCCGGTTCTCTCACGCGACCCCGCCGCCTCACCTGCAGCAGTCGGGCGGCCGGGCAGCCGAGCCGCCCAGTCGCCGAGCCGCCCGGGAGCCGAGTCGCCCTGCACCCGAGCCGTCCGTCGCCGAGCCGCCCGGGAGCCGAGCCGCCCTGCACCCGAGCCGCCCTGCCGCCGAGCCGCCCGGGAGCTGAGCAGCTGTACACCCGAGCCGCCCGGTCGCCGCTCTGCTTTTCTGTCGAGCTGCACGGCCTGCCCTGCCTGGTGAGCACAGTCCCTCTGTCACTGCGCCCTCTTTCCCTACTGCTTGCACTGCTTCGCTGTCGTCATCATGGCCACCCCTAGTGTCCTAACCTTTGACGCCGAGGGTCGCGCCATTGATTTTGAGGTCTGG